GAGGGAGGATGGGTGTAACCGGGGCGGGGGTTGGCTCGGGCGGGGGCGACGTGGGTTCGGGGGTCGGGGGCACCGGCGTCACGGGGGACGGGGTGGGCTCTTCGAGCTCTTCGAGCTCCCCGCAGATGAAGGCTTGGGCGTCTTCGTCCGGCGCCGCGGATACGGAGAGGTCGGACGAGCTGTCCCGTCCTGGGACCACGAGGTCGAAGTTGTAGTAGTAATCCTCGTCCTGTAGTGTTTTGTTGCGTTTGTTCATTTCGGTGCGTGGTGGGTGGCATGAGCGGGGAGGGCGACGGGCGGAAGTTTGACGCAGGGGAAGGGAAAGAACAGACGTGGAGGGGGGGGGGTCAAGTCGATGTTCTCGGCGAAACCTTGCGGCAGAAAGACCGCGGAGAGAGGACAGCAGTACAGTGAGATAGAGAAAAGTGGACAGCATGGCCGCGTGCTTTCCCTGTACGCTTTCAGACTAGCAAAGCAGCTGCCGGCCGACACATGCACGCACCGCTTACCCAGCGCTGTGATGACAGGGCCAAGACAGCAGCAGCGAGCACCTTCGAAAGACATACGGTACATCTCGATGCCAACTAAAGAGTTGCAGAACCCACTCGCTACATAAATTATGGCACAAAGAGTCCGTCAGACCACAAACAAGCACGGGCCAAAATTTGACAAGAAAGAAAAAAATGCGCAAAAAAATCAGTTCCTGGACGGTGCAACGACTAGGGTGGAAAAAACGGCGGTGGGCGAGAACCCACACACGGCAGCGGTGCACGGACCAACCGCCAAGACAAACGAGAATTCACGAAGCTTTAAACGTCAAAAAAGCCCACTTATAGATAGGAAACCTGGGCCCGAGGGCGACCGCAACGACCACTGTCGGCCCAAAATCGCCGACATAAACAAAAACAGAACCACCTTCCCCCCCATCAACGATGGGCAAAGCAACATATATTAGTGTACTAATGCTGTGTGCATACCCTACAGGGAGAAAATGAGGTATTTCTAGCCCCGTGCCAACAAAAAGAAGAGCGAGCGTTTTATTGTGGTTTCAAGCGGCTTTGCGTTGCGATTGATTGGCCTGCCTGCCTGAGGAGGCAAGACACACACACATACACACACACGTACACACACACATACACACACGCAGTTCATGGCAGATAGAAGTGTTTTGTGTTTTCAACCGCGCTTAGACTGACGTCTGTTCATTGGTCAGCCGGTTAGCGCGGTCGACGCTAATAATACACACACACACACACGCACACACATGCCCAGTGACTCGTGCGTACGGCAGTACGCCCCCCGCTCACCTCCACAGTAGCAGTGGTCAGCTGCATTATGAACCCGGCCTCGAGGCAGATCTCTATCTCGTCGTCCGGGACGGACACCGTGCTGGCCCCCACCACCTCCGCGAACACCTGGGACTGATGAAAATGGAAACGGAACCGTCCGTAGCCGTTTGTTGAAACAGACAGGAACAGGAAACGGGAATAAAAAAAACGGACGCCAACTTGATGCTGGAGCGTTTTTGAAAAAACACTAGAGGGAAAGCGCTCGCGTGTGACGCGGATTGAACATTGTGTGGAGCACGTATCGTACGCATACGGAGGCCACGCTATGATGGAGGGAGGGGGGGGGGGGGAGCGCAACAAACTGTACACACCCACACAGAAACCACCGGACTAAGATCCCCCGGACTGAGACGGTAGCCATACTGGGGCATAGGAAGTGGGTTGAGAAGGCGGGAAGAGAAAATCGATAGGATACATAGGCTAGGGAAAACATTCTTGAGCCACCTTTGGCAAAGAAGGGAAGGGATGATTGGCCACCCGTGATCGGTCCTGTGGGAACAACAATGCTCCGTCCTCTCGAGGACGCGTGGTCAACAGTCTAACCGCTAAGGCATGCAAAACATAAGAGTACGCCCCGCCCCTCCCCCGCCCCCCCCCCATCGCTAGCGAGTATCCTGTACGTGCCGGTAAACCCGGTGAAAGAGCTTTCAGATACACATACCAGCACACAGACAGAGTGGACCTCCTCGAGCATTGACAATCCCCCCCCCCCCCCCCCAAAAATTAGCGGGGGGGCATAGTTGTCTGCCATT